GGAAGATCACAAATGGTGTTCATATGACCATGAAATGCTGTGAGCATCATAAATGCATGACAATTGTGGATGGCTAGGATGTAGACCAGAACTCCCCAATGTTTCCGGCCTTGGGTCCTGGTGGGAGAGAAGGGATGGTTCCATGCAAGCGGCTGGCAAGCACACGCATGCAGCTCCATTTGCGTGAGCAGTGTACTCACACGCCTGCTGCTCACTTAAATGGAGCACACGAACACACGCTCGTCCACTGCTTGCTCAAGTGAGGATGTGTGCACGTACATGCTCACCAGCAGTTACTGCGGCCCGGTTGCAAATACTTCACAGCCCACTAGTAGGCTCCAGCCCACAGGGTGAGGACCCCTGATGTAGACCATTTAAGCATTCTAATGGGTCAGGTATTGATTCCCTCTTCAGAAGATGCTTTAAAAGTTCTTTTGATGGCAAGGAACTTGTTTCCACTAAATAATCTAGTTCTACTCAGAGCAATTGAGCTTCTTTAATTTGTAGGCAATATTTGCCATTCACCAAAAAACTATTGGGATCTCCACCATAAAGCCTGTTTCAAGTGAAACCTTTTGTAATGACTTCATCCGCTCCTTCACTTGGACTTTCCAGCCGCTTCCCCCCGCCACAGGGAGACGGAACCGACCAGATGGTTCCATCCCAGGCGCCTGATGGATCCCAAAAAGTTCCTGGCGGAGCTTGGGCCGTTTCCTGAGACCCTGGCACACGACTCGACCGAAGACCTGGTGGCCGCCTGGGAGAGTGCGGCCGCCAGAGCTTTGGACTACGTCGTGCCTTTGCGGCCTCTGACCCGATGCCGATCTCAATTGGCTCCTTGGTTCTCCGAGGAGCTGAGAGAGATAAAGTGTCGGAAAAGACCCCTAGAGAGCATCTGGAGGACTAGTCAATCCGATTCTGACCGGACACTGGTGAGGTCTTATATCAAGACCTACCTAGTGGCGATAAAAGTGGCAAAATCTAACCATTTTCCGCTCTTATCGCATCTGCAGAGTGCCCAGCCGCTCTGTTTAGGGTGACCCACTCCCTTCTTCGGGGGGGGGGGAGTGCGGGAAGATCCGTTGCAGGGTCAAGCTGAGGATTTTGTGCAATTCCTGCATGATAAAGTCGCTTGGATTCGGGAAGGCTTGGACTCCGACTGGATGAGTCCAGGGGAGGAGACGAGGGTAGGTCTTGAGAATATTATCTGGGAGTTTGATCCTGTGGCTCCGGAGGATGTGAACAGGGTTCTGGGTAAGATTAGTGCCCCCACGTTTATTGGACCTGTGTCCCTCCTGGTTGGTACTGGCCTCCCGGGAGGTTACACGAGGCTGGCTCCAGGGGATTATAAGTGCTTCTTCTTGAAAGAGGCGGTGGTGAGGCCCCTCCTCAAGAAGCCTTCCCTGGACCTGGCTGAACTAGCTAACTACCGTCCGGTCTCCAACCTTCATTTTGTGGCGAAGGTTGTTGAGAGTGTGGTGGCACGACAGGTTCCCTGGCACCTGGATGAAGCTATCTATCTGGACCCGTACCAGTCGGGCTTCAGGCAGGGGTACAGCACAGAAACGGCATTGGTCGCGTTGGTGGATGATCTCTGGAGGGCTCGGGACAGGGATTGCTCCTCTGTCCTGGTCCTATTAGATCTCTCAGTGGCTTTTGATACCATCGACCATGGTATCATGCTGCAACGGTTGAGGGGGTTAGGAATAGGGGGCACCGTCCTGCGGTGGTTCTCCTCCTTCCTCTCCGACCGTTCACAGTTTGTGTTGGCAGGGGGGCAGAGGTCGACCTCGAGGCGCCTCGCATGGGGAGTGTCACAAGGGTCGGTTCTCTCGCCCCTTCTGTTCAACATTTATGTGAAGCCGCTGGGTGAGATCATCTGTGGTTTTGGGGTGAGAGTCCATCAGTACGCTGATGACACTCAGCTGTACATCTCCACCCCAGACCACCCCAACGATGCCCTTGATGTGATGTCTCGCTGCCTGGAGGCCATGCGGATCTGGATGGGGAAAAATAGGCTCAGATTCAACCCTTCCAAGACCGAGTGGCTGTGGCTTCCAGAATCCCGATATAGTCAGTTGGTGCCATCTCTGACTATTGGGGGTGAATCTCTGCCCCCCCACAGAGAGGGCTCGCAATCTGGGTGTCCTCCTGGACGCACAGTGGTCTTTAGAAGAGCATATGACGGCCGTGGCCAGGGGGGCTTTTTATCAGGTTCGCCTGATTTTACAGTTGCAACCCTTTCTGGACCGGGACACCTTGCGCACGGTCACTCACACCCTTCTCACCTCCCGGCTGGACTACTGTAATGCTCTCTAGATGGGGCTCCCCTTGAAGAGCACTCGGAGGCTCCAACTGTCCAGAATGTGGTCGCGCGGGTGGTTATGGGCGCAACTCGTTGTGCCCACATGACACCCCTCCTGCGCGAGCTGCACTGGCTCCCAGTGGTCCTCCGGGTGCGATTCAAAGTGCTGGTTACCACCTTTAAAGCGCTCCATGGTATAGGATCCAGGTACCTTCGAGACCGACTTCTGCCACAAATAGCCTCCCACTGGCCAGTCCGCTCCCACAGAGAGGGTCTCCTCAGAGTGCCATCGGCCAAGTTATATCGGCTGGTGACACCCAGGGGGAGGGCCTTCTCTGTGGGAGCCCCTGCCCTGTGGAATGAACTGCCCCCGGAAATGCGTAAGATCTCCGACCTCTGTGTATTTCGCTGTGCCCTCAAGACCCTGCTGTTCCGCCAGGCCGGGCTATCAATGTAATGATTTTAAATTGGGTGTTTTAAATTTTTGGGGTTTTAAATCTGAGCCGAAATTATGTAATAATTTTAATTATTTTTAATTGATGTCTGTCTTTGTGCTTTTAATAGGCTGTACACCGCCCTGAGTCCTTCGGAAGAAGGGCGGTATAGAAATAAATTATTATTATTATTATTATTATTATTATTATTATTATTATCCCATTGACAACTTCATCTGAGATCAAAGGAAACAAGAGATTGGTTCTACCGGTCTGGAGAATTCAAGACTGAAATGTCAATAATAACCGGTGCAGCCTAACAATCATTGCACACCTCTACTGCACCAAAATCCCTACCAAATAAAATAGCTTCTACTTTGGTAGGGTTCTACATTTCGGATGATGAAATGTAGTTTCTGGGAAACTGACTGACAATATGTGTAGTTTATATTTCTAAGTTTGGCAAAATACTATAAAGATGTCTGTGTAAGCTGCTTATAGTTTTGATAACTACAATAAATTAGGATATTTCTCAGAGGCTGATCTTATTAAAAAGGTTTGAGCGTTGAACTTTGAAAAAAATTACATCAAGAGCAAATGGTACAATTTTTAAAATAATAATTCTATTGAGGGCTCTACTGTACTATCTGTGATTAGGAGGTGGGGCAGTGGATAAAGTCTTTGTTCAGAATTTTGTTGAGAAAGCATTTTAACATCACCAAATTGGGCTCGCACAAAAAGTAACTTTGTCCTACTGGAAACATTTCGCAGGATCAAGAAACATGATGAGGTCATAAGGACGCTGAAGAAATTGGTCAGCTCTTTGGATTCCAAACATGAAGTGGAAAATCCTGTATTTTTTGGCAATAACTTTACAACCCTTCATCCTGGGTATTCAATAGTATGCCCCTCCTGACTGGCAGTGTTGCTGATAATGGGAGGAATGGAAAACCACCTGACCAAGAGATGATACGAAGTGGGAGTCATGTAGTTTCAACTATGATCATGGAAAAAGTGGGAACAACCAGATGTAACTGAATCTTTTCCCTATGGCTGAGAGTTGAGGCCTGGTTTCCTGAACAGTAGAATCAGAAATTAGTAGACAAACATCTGTAGTCTCTTCCTGTGACACATTTCCTGTTATACCTGTGGAGATATGATGGACCTTAGCAAAAGTAGTATCCATTTTACTAGCAGTCTCTACATCAATAATAGCTTTTGTTTTTACAGGAGCCTCTCTAGAGATCTGTATGGTAAATTGAAACAAGACTTTTCCTTATTTATTATCATACATTGGTCTCTTTCAACTCTTTTAGCTTAAGACAGAAACCTCAAATGTGCTAGTTCTGCAGCACAATAACTGATGTTAGAAATCCCTCTGAATGGTACTACTCACGGAACAACTTAACAGGGCATGACATATAGAGAGATCTTACATCTAAGTCAATTAGGTATCATCGGTCAGTATATTTTAAGGGGCATTTAAAGTGGCAGTTAAGTTTAAAAATATTCATTCTCCTGTTTGGAGACTTCCATGGTTGGTGGAATTTTTTAACAAACAGAATCCATGATCTTAAAACCATAGGAAGAGGGACATTTTCAGATTCAGGATCAAGATTAAGAAAGCAAAAAATGAACCCATAAGAATTATGCAAGCAGATATGTGGATGAATCCAAAATCATCAGAGAATTCAGATCACTGCAAGGAAGGAAGGCTGAAGAAAAGGTTCAAAATGGTGTTTGTCTAAGATGTACGTAAGGTAGAAATGCAATCTTTCTATATGGTGAGTCTTGGAAATTCCCATGTTATCATAGGTCTTTGTGTTGATGAATCTGTGAGTGTCCCTGGTCCTGTGAATCCTGTTGCAAGATGATACTGCATCTACAAGATTTCATCTCAGGAAACATCTATGAAACGTGGGGGAAGTCACTCTGTCCATCAAGATCAGTTATTATATTCTTTGCAAAATAGCCTCTGCTTGACACTATGTTCTACTGAAACTCAAAATCTGCAGGTGGTTTCTGTACCTGATTTTCTTTGTTTTCCAGAGAAAAAAATCCATCAGGATAGGCATGACAGCTATATAAAATACAGGTTCAAAAACCAGGGACTTCAGTGTATTTTCCATGGTTGTACTCAGCCCAAAGTAAGATGTTTCTTAATCTAAGAAATGCATATGATTAATTTTTCTCTTGCACCTCTATTTTTCCTAAATGTATTTTATACTCACAGGCTATATACTAATATTTGGAAAACCTACCTCATTATTAATGTCAAAAACTCCTTCCTGTATTTTTTCATAGATTTCCTTTGCTGTGTTAATAAATGCCTGAAAGAAAATAGAAACATTTAAAATAAATACAAAATATATTTCATTTACTTCTTCAATGGCCTATTGTGTGTTTATTAACCTTAGAAATCTTTTTGCTTAACTTTTGGTTAAGTTGCCGCTAAACAAGGATTACCTGTTCTGTTAGACTGTGATAACCTTTCACTTGGTCACTGTATGTCTTCTTCTGGCTTTTTGATGAAAGTGGAATTCTTCATTTGGAGGTTCTTTGAATCATGAGAAATTTCAACACTGCTAGTTCCAATGGACTAGTTTGACAGTAATTCCCAGGTTACTAATGAAATCTAGCGATAATTTTAAAATCTTTTCAAATTTAACGTACAAAAAATGTAGCATCAGCAGGCAAAGCAAATTAATCTGTCCAACCAGCAGAGAATCAAGCATTAATTTCAAACAAAAAAATCTGCTGTGAACCATGCTACTTATTTACAAACAAAGGAATAGTAAGAGTCTAGAATGCATATTGATAACCCAGTTGAGGAGAGGAAGAGGAAAGATTCTGCAATATATATATACAAATCTGAGGACGACTTGATGGGTAGATTATTAGACCAATGTGACCAATGCTGCTCTACTTTATTCCAGGTGATATCCTTTGACCATCTAGCCTATTATGATATGACTTGGCAGCAGTTCTACAGGAACTCAAGCAGAAATCTTTCATGTCACCAACTATCCTTTTGTAGCACAGCAGGGAAAGACAAATTAGTTGTTCGAAAGGGGATAGGGGATAATTTTTGCCTTCTTGCCTTAATACATTTTCAAAATATAAATAACAACATGATCTTTGTTGTAGATCCAGTATTTGGATGCTTCATCTGGAAATCCAGTATCAGGCAAACAAATGTATATACTAAAAATATTGTTTCTCTCTCTCTCTCTCTCTCTCTCTCTCTCTCTCTCTCTCTCTCTCTCGACAGAGAGAGAGAGAGAAGAGAAGAGAAGAGAAGAGAAGAGAAGAGAAGAAAAAAGAAGAAAAAAGAAGAAAAAAGAAGAAAAAAGAAAAGATAATAAATTCATATGAAGTTGATCGGGACATTTTGCTTACATTTATTTCTTTAGAAGAAATGTATGTAAGAAATATATGTCTCTATATTCACATCACCATAAATAGTAAGTTATTCTTCCCTCTTTAATAAGATTATTCAAATATAAAGCAGCCCAGAGTCACCTTATCATGGAGATGGGTGGCACATAAATAAAATAATCATCTTTCATATAACAGAATATTGGCCTTATGTTTTATTTATCTATTTATCACATTTATTTTCGCTGTCGCCACAAGGCAATTCTGGGTGGCTTACAAAATTAAAACCAATAAACAATATGAATATCTATAACAGTAAAATTATAAGATAAGGTAAAACGATGGGGACGGAAGGATCAAAGTATGCAGGGTATGAGGTGGGATCTGCTATTACTCCATCAACCATTTCCAGCATAGCACTCCTCCATTGGGGGCCCAAGCCAATTGGCAAAACCAGGTTTTCAGGCCCTTATGAAAGGTCAGGAGGGTAGGAACAGATCTCACCAGGGTGTGTGTGTTTAAGATGTTCCAAAGGGCAAGATCCTACATTGTAAAGTGTACATAAAACATATCAATATTTTATACAAAAATGTATCAACTTATATTACACACACACAACTCAATTAGTATTTGATACATAATTCAGTTCCTATCACTGTAAGAATTTAAGATGTACTGTACTGACAGTAACAGAGATAGCCAAAAGAGTAAATCAAACCCTGTCCTACCAACTTTTTATAGTCACTAAATTCTGGTATCATATATTCAGGTGTGCTATACCTGATTGCAAATCTAATTTAAATACTAAAAAATAAACAGGGTTCATGGTGGAGAACAAATCATACCTTTCCTAATTTCTACTCTAGAAGCATTTGACTGCCGAACTTGCCACCAGAGCTTTGTTTCCTAATTAACAGGACTGATATGTTTTCACCTTTAAAGGCCTTACAGCTCCCTAGAGTAATCAATCTACTGCAGCTCAATTACTGCACCAAGTGCATACTACAGCCAGTGAAGGAGACTCAAATATTTTCAGCCATGAGTAGAAAGATATGAATATGCATAAACTGTAAGTGGATGATCGAATCATCACCGAGGGTCATGAAAATTTGCAGCAACATAATGAGAAGAATTAATCACTACAGCTTCAGAGGACATGTAGGAAGCAAGATAGTTTTCAGACATGAACTCGGAAATGAATTGTCTGATGACTGTGAACTGATCTATAGTCTATAGAAATAATTGTTTTCAATATTAGAAGGGGGGTTGCAATAATTAAATTAACTATTAGGGGGGCATAAATGTTCAAATAATTTAAAACTACAGCTCAAACTTTTAATTTTCTCACAGCTATAATCTCTTAAGAGATTTTCTATTTTCTAAAACAGAACAGAACAGAACTTTATATCAAAGCTCACATATATATATATACACATCAATCCGTTGCTTATTTAAAAATACATGGCTGACAAATAATCGGCAGTCCACCATCTAACATGGTTGTTCCTCCCAAAGGTGCTTTTTCAGGAGGCAACTGGACTTTCTTGTTTTTTCTTTGAAGTCATTTTGCTTCTCATCCAAGAAGCTTCTTCAGCTCTGACAGGATAGTGGGGAATGGATTTATATTTCTTGCAATTGGAATGGATTTCCAGAGGAAAAATTGCAGATTACAGGTACCAGGAGCACTACTCAGGTGACCCTGAGGACACAGATAAACCTCCAAGTGCTTCGACTCTCCTCCAGTTGCCTCCTGAAAAAAGCATCTTTGGGACAATCATGACCTGGATGACTGAGAATCTCTAGACTTTTAGCTGTGTAATTTGTAATAAGCATCCTTTGAATGGTGTGTGAGTAGAAATGGATTTCCAGAGAAAAAAATTGCAAACAGCAAGAGTCAGGAGCACTACTCAGATGACTTTGAGGACACAGATAAACCTCCAAGCGCTTCAACAACCCTCTAAAAGGATGCAAATGACCAGCTGTCTGCAAGGAGTATGGGTCCTTCCATTCCCCACTATCCTGTCAGAGCTGAAGAGGCTTCTTGGATGAAAAGCGAAATGTATTTAAAGAAAAAACAAGCAAGTCCAGTTGCTTCCTGAAAAAACACCTTTGGGACAACCATGACCTAGATGACTGAGAATCTCTACAGACTTTTAGCTAACATGGTACGTTTGTCATTCTGGAATATGAGGATTTCCTATATTTTTCTGCAGCAAGAAAGTAATTTGAAAATAATCTATGAACTGGATGACCCTGAGATTCCCCTTTCCATTCTGTTCTGATTACTTCTAAAATAGGCAAAATGTAAATTGCATAGAGAACGATAAATTGGCCTAAACGACAGGGAGGGTGTATTAGATACTGGTCCTTTTTGTTTGCAGAGAATCAACTTTGAGATTCCTGAATTTTCAAAGGTCTGAATCAAGACATTGGAATATACTATGTGTTTATTTTATTTAAGTAAGTCTAGATTTTGGTCAATGTACTGAGAAATAGTCCTGTTAAAAAATGAGCATGCGCAGAAGGAGGGGGCGGAACCATACTGCAGAGGGAGATAAATATTTGACAAGCACTCAGTAGAACAAATCGAAGGAGTGAAGGTTCCCATAACTGAGGAATGTCGGCACAACAATGCATGAAAATTTATGAAGCAAGCTATAATTGCAAGTGCTCAAACAAGGAATATAGTTTTTATTTTATTATCCTGCATCAACATGGCTATTGATATTTAACCACTTTTTAATCTGAAGGATTTATGTATTTCAGGCTTAATTGGTTAATGAACTGGTGGTAAAAGTACAAAACTAGAAAATAGGAGATTGCAAGTTCATGTCCTGCCTTAGCTGTGAAAACCAGTTGTGTGAATTTGGCCCAGACATTCTCTCTCTCAGCATAACCCAACTCACAGGGTTGTTATTGTGGGGAAAATAGGAAGAGAAAGGTAAGTTGGACATGGTAAGTTTGCTGCTTTGAATTATATGTAAAAGTAATAAAGATGAGATACAAGCAAACAAATTCAAGTGCTATTTGGGACCACAAAATATTCTAACAAAAAATATTGCCAGGATCCTATAAACAAATTCTTCTTCTTCTTCTTCTTCATCATCATCATCATTTTAGCTATTTTGTATCCACTGCAGGATGAAGGGCTCTTCTGAATGTTTCCAACCGATATGGTCCTGAGCTTTCTTTTGCCAATTGGGCCCACAATAAACAAATTATAGGTTCATAATAACAATAAATGGTTTACATGCATTCAGTCTCAACATCCTCCAGTTGTAAAAGTCTTAATACAGGTACCGTATTTTCCGGCGTATAAGACGACTTTTTAACACATGAAAATCTTCTCAAAAGTCGGGGGTCGTCTTATACGCCGGGTGTCATTCTCCTGTAACCAGGCAGACCAGCCCGAAAGACTCTGACGAGCCTTAAATGGCTCTGGCGATCTAAGCTCTGACGATCCCAGCTTTGCCTGCTAATCAGGCAATTCAGCTGGGACCGCCAGAGCCACGGAGAAGGGAAAAACTTTTCCCCCTCCGGCTTGCTTACCTTAGCTCAGTGGTTGGGGGTCAAACAACCCTTTCACAGGGGTTTTGCAGGTGGTGCAATACAGAAAAACGAGCGCAGCCCTCGCCATCTGGAATGAATGGTGCTGTTGTGGCGGTGGGGGAGAGGGCGGCAGAAGCGGGAAGAAGCGGCGTTTGCGATGGCTGGAAGCTGTGGGAGTGAAGCACTACTTTCATTTGTACGGCAACAGCATTCCGCCTTGGTATATTTGTGTCAGGAGTGGCGCAAGGCAGCCCTCCTCTTCTGTTGCCTGGGACTCAGAGTGGTAAATGGTGTCTGATCCGGAGAGCAGCTGGATTTTGCTCTCTAATCCGGATGCCAAATCGGCCCCCTGCAAACTCTTCTCTCGAGGAGCGGTCCCTGAAGCGGGGCTGGAAACTTTGGTTGGACTGCTTGAGAGAGGAGAGCTTGCAGGGGGGCGATCTGATGTCTGCAATGGAGAGCGGCATCCGGCTTTTCCTCTCCGCTGTAAGAGCGCTGTAAGAGTGGCAGCCCTCATCTCCTAATGCTTGGGACTCGGAGTGGTAAATGGTGACTGGTCCGGAGAGCAGCTGGATTTTGCTCTCTAATCCAGATGCCAAATCGGCCCTCTGCAAACTCTAGTCTCTCGAGGAGCGCTCCCTGAAGCGGGGCTGGAAACTTTGGTTGGACTGCTTGAGAGAGGGAGAGCTTGCAGGGGGGCGATCTGATGTCTGCAATGGAGAGCGGCACCCGGCTTTTTCTCTCCGCTGTAAGAGTGGCAACCCTCATCTCCTAATGCTTGGGACTGCAAAATCCAGCTGCTCCCCGGACCAGTCACCATTTACCGCTCCGAGTCCCAAGCATTAGGAGATGAGGGCTGCCGCTCTTACAGCGCTCTTACAGCGGAGAGAAAAAGCCGGATGCCGCTCTCCATTGCAGACACCAAATCGCCCCCCTGCAAGCTCTCCTCTCTCAAGCAGTCCAACCAAAGTTTCCAGCCCCGCTTCAGGGGCGCTCCTCGAGAGACGAGAGTTTGCAGGGGGCCGATCTGGCATCCGGATTAGAGAGCAAAATCCAGCTGCTCTCCGGATCAGACGCTATTTACCTTGAGTCCCAAGCAGCAGGAAACAAAGGCTGCCTTGCGCCGCAAATATAGCAAGGCAGAATCCTGATGCTGCACTTTCAGCAGACAGATGAGGGCTGCCTTGGCCATCGGCTGGCGCAAATATACCAAGGCGAATGCTCATGCCGCACAAGTTCAAGTAGTGCTTCGCTCCCACACTTCTTTCGGCCCTCAGTCTCTCAGGGAGGTGCTTGACTTCCTCTCAGCCCCAAGACACTGGCTGGCCCATGAGATGAGAGAGAGAGAGAATGAGAGAGAAAGAGAGAGAATCAGAATGAGACAGAGAGAGAAAGAGACAAAGAATGAAAGAGAGAATGAGAGAGAGAGAATCAGAGTGAGAGAAAGACAGAATGAAAGAGAATGAGAGAAAGAGACAGAGAGAATCAGAGAGAGAGAGTGAGAGAGAGAGAATGAGAGACAGAGAAAGAGACAGAATCAAAGAGAATCAGAGAATCAGAGAGAGAATGAGAGAGAGAGAATCAGAGTGAGACAGAGAGAGAAAGAGAGAGAAAGACAGAATGAAAGAGAATGAGAGAGAGAGACAGAGAGAATCAGAGAGAGAGAGAGAGAGAAAGAGAGAATGAGAGACAGAGAAAGACAGAGAATCAAAGAGAATCAAAGAATCAGAGAGAGAATGAGAGAGAGAAAATGAGAAAGAGGGGGAGAAAGAATGAGGGGGGAGAGAGAGAAAGAGTGGGGGAAAGAAAGAATGAGAGAGGGGGAGAGAGAAAGAGAATGAGAGAGGGGGAGAGAGAAAGAGAGAATGAGAAAGAGTGGGAGAGAAAGAAAGAGAGAGAGCGAAAATGAGAGAGAGAGAGAGAGAGAATGAGAGAGAAAGAGTGGGAGACAGAGAGAGAGAGACAGACAGGAGGGAGAGTGCCTGAAGGACCCCATCCCGTACTGGGAGTTCAGGTGCTTCAGCAAGCGGTGCACTGGATTCGTATTAGTGGTCCGCAAAATTTAAAATTATGAAGTTGGTGGTCCCTGAGGTCCAAAAGGTTGGGGACCCCTGGCCTAAGACCATCGGAAAACACATATTTTTGATGGTTTTAGGAATAACTTTATTGTTGGGGATCACCACAACATGAGGAACTGTATTAAAGGGTCGCGGCATTAGGAAGGTTGAGAACCACTGCCTTAGCTGCTTGCCTTGCTTCGCTTGCCTGAATCCATTCCATCAGCAAGCAACTCCCTGCCTGCAATCAAGCAGGCAGGGAGTTGTGGACTTCAACTCCCAGAATTCCTCAGCCAGCAAAACAAAGCTGGCTGAGGAATTCTGGGAGTTGAAGTCTACAAGTCTTAAAGTTGCCAAGGTTGGAGACCCCTGTTCTATTGGGTAAGTATTTTTCCCCTTTGGGATCTTTAAAAAAAAAAAATAGTTAATTGGTTTTTTTTTTAGTTGTTCTTTTTTAGACCTAGCCATTTAAAGTTTAGGAAGTTTTAAATTTAGCTTTCATATAAAAATAAAAATAAAATAAAATAATATTTGTGCAGCTTTCTGAGATTTAGTGTGTTTCTGTAGTGTTTCACTCTAACTACACAAACACACAAAATCTCACAAAGCTGTATGTGGAATTTTGTGTGTGTAAAGTGTGAAAGTTGGGTTTTTGGGCTTTTTGTGGCTGTGTGAGGTTCCTGCTTGTTGCAGGGGCCATTTTGGGTCTAGCACAGCTGCTTTTACATTGTGGATGAGCCAGTTGTGTTGTGTTGTGTTGTGTGTGTGTAAAGTGTGAAAGTTGTTTTTTGTGGCTTTTTGTGGCTGTGTGAGGTTCCTGCTTGTTTCAGGGGCCATTTTGGGTCTAGCACAGCTGCTTTTACATTGTGGGTGAGCCAGTTGATGTTTTTTTAATTTTTATTTGGTGTGCGTTGGAAGAGGGGTAGTCTTATACGGCGAGTATAGCCCAAACCCTATATTTTAACAGGAAAATTTGGGGGTCGTCTTATACGCCCAGTCGTCTTATACGCCGGAAAATACGGTAGTCCTCGACTTACAACCACAAAATTTCTATTGCTAAGCAAAACCGTTTATAACATTTCTTGCTACAGTTGTTAAGCGAATCACTGCAATTGTTAAGTGAATCTGGCTTCCCCATTGACTTTGCTTGTCAGAAGATGACAACAGGTGATCACATGACCTTGGGACACTGCAATTGTCTTAAATATGAACCAATTGCCAAGCATATAAATTTTTATCACATGATCAAAATTTTGATCATGTTGTAACTTCAAACGGTTACTAAACAAATGGTTGTAAATCAAGGATTTCCTGTACATAGACTGAGAAAGACACTGATCTCTTGACAGTAGGATTATATACTAATCCTAGTCAACATGGACTAAAGAACCCTTTTAACATAAGGGAGAATTGTATACTCAAGATTGTATCAGTGTATCAAATTACTTTGAAAATGCAGAACAATAATTCAAAATATGTGAATTTTACAAATTTTAATGTGGGAATAATATTTGCCTAATTTTTAAAGGCAATACCTGCTGAAGTTTATTTATTTAAAACATTTGCATAGTTGCCCATTTTAAATACAACTCTGGGCAGCTTACAACCAATAAAACAATAAACTTGAAAACTTGGGAAAATAAACAAAGATATAATTTAGGATACTATTAAATTTTTAAAAATACATCTGTCTGATACTGAAAAAGACAGATTCCTTAAGCTTTTTATGTAACATGCTGCCATCTGGTGGCAATATATAGTTGATTAGATTTATAGTACCAAATCAATCATAAAGTAACAAAAAAAACTTAATAGTTTATTTTTGAAATGAAAAAGTTTCACTTTACAAATATTACTTTGCATCAAAACTCCAAAATTTCACCCAACATTTTAAATTAAACTGGATAGGTTTTCCTGGATACAAAATAGATTTAAGATAGCAATGTTATGTTGTTGTTTTTAATGTTACATAATGTTCTGTTATGGATTGCACCAGAGGGTAAACAAATTTTGTTGTAAATATGATGTATAATGACAATAAAGGCTATACTACTATACTAATTTCAAAATCAGAACAAGCCATTTTGTTTGGGGTCAGCCACCTCTAAGATGAACCTAATTGTGGAAGTTTTTGGTAATTCCTGATTCAATGAAATAAAATCCAGAGCAAGGGCAAGATCAGGACATCACCTCTTTCCTTAACATTGTAGTTCTCAGTGTGTGGCATATTTTGCCAGTCAGCTAATGCATCTTCCTAGCATAATCCATTCGGTTCCTCCCCACAAAAATGTTTTAGCCAAGACTGTTTTAGTATATTTTATAGGAGAAAAATAAGGGATTGCATATGAGAATGCAAAGTGACATCCATATTTCTCCCTTCTTTGGATAAGTGGTTTATTTACAAATGGTTATCTGCTGTTGACCTGAATACTGTACAAATCTCAATGGTTGCCTCCTGCCTATCATCCAATTTTGATCAAAGTCTTTTGTAAACAACAGATCAATGGACTCTTAATGCAACTTGTGATTTACATTGGAGATTCTGTTGAAAATCATTCCTCCACTCCTTGGTGAAATATAACTCAGTAAATTTTGATTTAACGTGCCATCTAAACAATAGAAAAGAATAGCTTTTGTAGTTTGATTTCTGGCTTTTCTATTCTCTCTCTTTAGGTTTTATTTTTAATCACCAGCATTTATTCTACTTCCTCTGAGTAAAAAAACTGAAGAGGTTTTTTAACTGTTCTGAGGAAACCTATGGCTCTGTGAGAACTTGATGGTGTTGCATGACACACTAAATGTAAAAAAAGGAAAAGAAAAAGTAATTCACACTTGTCAATTGGCAAATTTTCTAAGGTACAGTAGAAAAAGCAGGGCTTTTCAGCTGACATTCAGACCCTCTCCCTACCCCTAGAGCACTTGGCAGAATAAAGTTTGAAGTAGCATGGAAGATAGCATGTTATAAACAGCTATTCAGGTCCAAAGTAGGGAAAGTGCTTTAAATTTGGCATGATCATGCTCACTATATCACTCAATGCTCCTTAAAAAAAACCACACTGTTTTGTGTATTCACAAATTAGCTACGTGGTCTCAGGGTACACATTTGAGGTAAGTAGGCATTAAGGTATCAGTGAAAGGATTGAGACATGGCCAACAGCTGCACAATCTTACAATCTGCAGAGAATGCTTCATTTCATTCTGTGGCTTTCAATAGGATCCTGGTATGATTCAATAGTTCAGGAAAAATATTTTATCTTTATTTCAAAGATATTTTTCAATATTTTTCTAAACTTAGAATTTTCATCTATAAAAAAATACTCAAAATTACCTCTTCTACATTTGAAGCAGTTTTGGCAGATGTCTCCATAAAGATAAGGCCATGCTCTCTTGCAAATGCTTCACCTTCTTCTTTTTTCACTTCTCTTCTAGACTCTAAATCACTAAGGGAAAAAAATTAATAGAGAAAGATCAGAATTACTTAGCTGTATCTGTTTATAATATTTAGGTAAGATTACAATTATGTCAAATTGTCTTATCTCAGATAGTATTATTTTTCTGAAGTCCAGAATTATTAAATTGCAAATATATTCACTACTGTTATTAAAAAATCCAAGTGGAAAGCTTTAAAATTTGCCAGAATTGCCAGTATTGATACTTAACAAAAGACATGCCTCTTCAAACAAACTAATGGTTGTTCATTATTTTAGCTAACTATTTCCAAACAATTGCCTTTGCTAGGATATGAGATACAAGTAGCAATAATAAAACAAATCCTGTCTATAAGTTTAGCCTTCAGATGTAGTTATGAAATTCTAATTTTAATGGAAAATTATAGACATTTAGCATACCTATATTTAGCTGAATTAAATGTTAAGTGAAATTAGATCAAATTTAATTATCTTACTACTTTTCAAGGTTTGGTTATTTTAAATTTGGTATGTAGAATTGCCCACATCACCAAAGTTTAAGGAACTATTTTAGCTGCAACAGTACTGCTTACATATTTGAAGTAAGATTAAAATCAACATTATGGAATTTTCTGCTCCCTGTCATTTTGTGCCATTAAGGATATTTATGGATATCCTTAAACTAGTAGGTTCACATTTCAGGTGTCATGCTTAATAATTTAGGATCTAAAATACTTCCTTACTATTGCCCAACCAAGTACTCTGACTCCTCCTTAAAACAGCAAAAATGGCACCGCTTTCATTAATTGTCTCCTAAAATATTTATAGGATATAATACAAAGGCAATCCAATGTTTCTTTCATCCTGGCTTATTAACCATGAATTATTATAAACTATGGACACACTACAGAGTCTGTGATCTCTCTAACAGGCTACATTTTAAGAGAGTAGTTTGGCTATATGGAAGAAGTAAAATCTACTCACTCTGTCAATAGATTTGTTTTAATCAGAAAAAAGTATTTATTATTAAAGCAGGCCAGATTTTGGCAATTGCTAAAGTTATAAAACAATGTTTTAAAACAAAAACAATGAAGAATGATAGTAGAAGCCAGAGCAAGTTATAGAAACAAATCCAGCCTACTGAACTGCCAGCAACAAAAAAATCATGTTAATGTTTCAAATAGCAAATCAACTAGCATAAGGAAGAAGATTAGGAATATGGTGATTTTATTTAGTTGCAAGAACTGTTGAGGCAAGAAGCTAGCTAGCTAACTATAAAATAAAGGGCAGTTAATATTTTGCATAGAGAAAATGTAAAATATTTTAATTAAACCACTTTTAATAGCCTCAAGATGTTTTTTAATTTTATCATTGTATTTGTTCCATACTTTCTGCAACCGAGAACCAGTTTGATCTAATGGTTAAGGCACCGAGCTAGAAACTTGAAGACTGTGAATTCTGGTTCCACCTTAGACACAAAAGCTGGCTGGATCACTTTGTGCAAGTCACTCTCTTTCAGTCCAATTCACCTCAGAGGTTGTTGTGGTGGGGAAAGAGTATTAGGCATGTTCACAGCCTTAATTTATTTATAAAATTGGAATAAAAAAAATCTAAACTATAAATTTATATATCTATACAACAAAATTACAATTATCCTAATGTACACCATTTCAGAAAACAAAGTACCTTTTGTTTCCAATTAGCATAATAACCATATTGGAATTAGAATGCTGGCGGGCATCTTCTAACCATGTTGTCAAATGGTTGAAAGTATCCCTCCTGAAAAGAAACTAAAATGTAAATGAACGCCCCAAAAAAAAAAAAAAAACCCAAAAAAATATCTCAAAGGATTAATATTTAGAGTTTATAGTCCATATAACTGATATCAATCCTAAGGAACTTACAAATCAAAACTAATTACCATATTTTTTGGTGTATAAGATGCACTTACCCTTCCCCAAAAGTGGGTGGAAATGTCTGTGTATCTTATACAGAAAATGTTGCTGAAGCCTCCCAACCCACCTGCAAGCCCCGCCCCCCCTTTGGCCTCTGCCTCCCAGCAATTTGCCTCCTCGCAGCAAAGAGCAAATAGCCAGATCAGCTTCAGCACAGCCTGATATAGCAAGAGCAGCTGATTGGCGGTTAGATCTGCCTCCCGGAATACGGCCTATCAGCTGTTCCAGGCTGCAGGGATCGCCACCGCCCATCGCCATTGCCACCTATCGCCGCCACTGAGCGCCCCATTTTTGGCTTCCACATGTCCCATTTTCAGCCTCTGTACACACCATTTTTGGCCCGTTCCATGCGGTGGGGATCCCCGCCTGGCACGGGCCGAAAATGGGGTGCGCAGAGGTCAAAAATGGGGTGCATGGAGACGGCAATAGGCGGCAGTGGCAATGAGCGGCGACAGGCAGTGGCCATCCCCGCAGCCTGGAACAGCTGATAGATGGTATTCCAGGAGGGAGATCCAATCACCAATCAGCTGCCCGTGCTAAATCAGGCTGTGCTGAAGCTGACCTGGCTATTTGCTCTTTGCTGCAAGGAGGCAAATTGCTGGGAGGCAGAGGCAGATTTTTTTTTCTTGTTTTCCAAAAGCTAGGTGCGTCTTATAGTCCAGAGCATCTTATAGTCTGAAACATACGGTAATAACTTGGGAAAAACCAAACACTCTTCACCCTTCTTAAAAAGGCCTTACATTTTGAATTTATATAAAATGCAACCAAATAACACAACTAGAATCAGCACAAACTACCATATTTTTTGGACTATAAAACACACCGGAGTATAAGACGTACCTTAGTTTTTGGGGAGAAAAATAAGAAAAAAACTGATTGGGGGTGGATCGGCTTCCTGGAATACCCCCAATCAGCTGTTGTTCCCAGACGTGAACTTTAGCAACAGGTTCGTTGGTTGTGAGCTCTGTGCCTTGCTTTTTTTTTTCAGCCTTTCAAACCTCTGTTTCAGAGGCCCTTTTATCAGCTTCTCAAACCTTCCTTTCAGAGGCTTTTTTTCAGCCTCTCAAACCTCCCTTTCAGAGGCTTTTTTCAGTCTACCAACGGAGATTTCAGAGGCTTTTTTCAGCCTATCAACGGAGATTTCAGAGGCTTTTTTCAGCCTCTCAAACGGAGTTTTCAGAGGCTTTTTTCAGCCTATCAATGGAGGTTTCAGAGGCTTTTTTCAGCCTATCAACGGAGGTTTCAGAGGCTTTTTTCAACTTCTGAAGTCTCCATTTGAGAGGCTGGGCGGGGCTACATTTGGTCTATAAGACGCACCCAAATTTTCACCCTCTTTTAGGGGGGGAAAGGTGCGTCTTATACTCCAAAAAATACAGTATTTAGAAATCATTCTTGCTTTGACTGATATGATAAAGGAACAAGAATCAATATTTAAAATTCTTTTCATTCTGGTCCTTTATAATCTGAATAACATAAAAACTCTCAGCACAATATGATATTAAAATATAACCTAATCTAGACAGAAAACTAATCTACTACGTGATACACACACACACCCTCCCTCCCTCCCCACAGTGTCTATGTAATCTTTAACCAAAAAACACCTAACATTCATCTGGTTGGGAATTCTGAAAAGTATAAATGCTTAAGAATGTAGCAGCAGAACACTGTGAAATCATGTCTCGAATTACAAACTTTATCAGCTACACAGAAAATCCACTTCAGAATTAAGTATTCGCCTTAGCCACATTAAATATTGTCTCTAAAACTCAACATGAATATACACATTCAGTCCTGCAAAATTTGAGTGTACTTTGACAATAGATATAATCCATCTTAATAAAGCTTAAAATAGGTCCACTGATAGCAATAAAATTTAAATAAAGCATGAACTAGTAGACCACCAACCCAGTATACTTTACAAGAGTACAAGAGTCTAAATCACACTAAACTGCAAGATTCTCACCTTGTAATGTCATACACTAGTAAAGCACCTGCTGCCCCTCTGTAGTATGACCTTGTGATGGAACGGAAGGACTCCTGCCCAGCCTGTAGTAAAACAAGAGCAACAGTTCCTTATTCCTCATGTGTGAGAAGTATCAGTTTACTTAACTATACTATGAAATTTATTTTACTGAGATTGGGAACAAAATAAACAGCCACTATTTCTTGAAAATAAGACTTACATATTTTTAAAAATCTACAGCACCATTAGGGGAAAAATCAAGAACAAGACCTCTAAACCTTTTTTGGCAATCCCTGACAACCCAATTTACTGAATGGCTTCACAATACATGAATCATTATTAGAGTACAGAATGGACTCCTAGCAACTAAGCTCTGAAGACAAATTTGAAAGGAAGCAAATAGCCCAGCGCTTCACATTTGAATTCAATATCTCCCTCCCTGGGGCAGCTGTTGACACTAGAATAAATAAAGCCCATTGTAAATAAATGATGAATGACATCTTTACGCCCACCATCTGCTGGAGTAAAAGTTGTATGAAGGCCAAGGATGCAGATTTTATCCATTATATCATACATTGCAACCAGATTTCAACAATCTTCAGATGGGTTTTTTTCTCCATCATTTTATTATGAAAAGCAACAGTTTTGAATTTGATTTTATATATGTCTGTTATCATTTAAATAACATCCTGTACTTCTGAAACAAAGCTTATCCAGAGAATAAACACACACATATACACACTGGTAGAATGGCAAGCACAGAAAACTTACAAAACATCTTGTGTATAAATTGATCTTTCAAATAAATGATCCAGAGGTCTTATAAACTAATTATCAGTATAGCTTGGCACAGCTATGCAAAATATGTAACAGATGTTTAACCCATAATGTAATTTATAGAGTATTTATAAATACTGTAAATATAGAGATGAAAAAATGAACAGAATCCACATCAATATCAGAAACTGCTTGTTGTCTGTTAGCAATACTAAATCATGTAGTGATGTAAACAACATATAGAAGAAAATATATTTCTAACATCATCTGTAGAAAAGATATGACAGCTTTGCTTTTTAACCCTAGATAAATTATAGTGAAATAAATTAAGGACATTTAGCAATCAATATTAAATATGCCAAGTTTATGTAGCTTGTGAAGTCTCAGGCTAGTCAGAGCAGGGCAGTTACTTCATAAGGTCTGTGATATAATATTAGGCAATTGGTGCGTATTATAGAAACTTGTATGATATTAGGTCTGCATACAGCTCTGATATGACATGAAGATATTTACATAAAACATGCAATGTCAGAAGTCAATGATCATATATGAACCATACTTCATGATTTATATCCAGGTCAACTCTATGTTACAATTTATTGCACTTCTCTGTTTTGCTGTTTTAATTGTAAGTTTGATATTGTTAAGATTTCTAATTGCAAATTATAAGACTTAGGACAGGAATAATGCTGTAGTCTTGACTACATAACAGCAGTTTTGTACTTGAAACAGAGTTGCATGGAGCTTTGTACACAAAATAGCTAAAAACAAAATATTATGAATATCCTTATTCCTAAAAATAGTAATCTCTAGCAATAGCAATTAGACTTATATACCACTTCACAGTGCTTTACAGCTCTCTCTAAGTGATTTACAGAGTCAGCATTTAGTCCCCAACAACTTGGCTCCTCATTTTACCCACCTCGGAAGGATGGAAGGCTGAGTCAACCTTGAGCCTGGTGAGATTTGAACTGCCAAATTGTAGGCAGCCGGCAATCAGCAGAAGTAGCCTGAAGTACTGCACTCTAACTACTGCACCACTGTGCATTTTACATGGTAAAATTTTAAAGAGACCTTCTAGGTAAATAGAGGGACCTAGATACAGGTAAGCCCTGACTTATGACAACAATAGGAATCAGAAAATTCATCATTATGCAGTGCAGTAATTAGGTGAGGCATGTTTTTACTACCTTTTTGCCATGATTGTTCAACAAATCACTTGCAGTCATTAGGACATCACATGACTGTAACTTGAAACCTCCTGTCACTAAGCTTGCTGGGAAGGTCACAAGGTAGCAATCATATGACTACAGGACACTGTAACCGTCATATGTGCAAGATAGTTAGCAAGTGCCTAGATTGTGATCACATGACTGCAGGGACCCTGCAAAGGCCAAGTGGGAGGATGTAAGTCCGTTTTTCAGTGCCACTGTAACTCTGAACAGTCACTAAATGAATGTTCGTAAAGTAGTTGTAAATGGTCGTAAACCTATATGTATGAAATAAAATACGATTTTGAAAACTTGAAAGATAAAGGCAATATCTTAAAAAACCAGAAATGAAATCAAATATATCCTCTTTCCCCTCCAGGTGTAGGATTTTTAAATAACTGAACAAGGCAGAGTGAATCTGTTAATTTAATATTTCTTAAGGCAAAATGTTAAGTCCTGTTAAAAATTGTCATTTTCTCATTTCTTGTTGAATTTGATACATCTATGAACAGAAACTTCACACTAAATCTTACTTATGTATTACTTGATATTGTGAAATTATCAGAAACTGAACTATTAATACAGGATCCACATGGTCAGTCATAAGGACAAGAGAATTAGCTTTCTGAGCTTTAGGACTCATGCTAGAGCCCATCCTCATGGAACTTCTCTCTACTGGAATGTGTCTTTGGACTACTCTATGCATCATATTTATGAGGTGCCTGACTGGGTGTGGCTTCCTATTGGCTGTTATTTCTTTGTGCTATCAAGTCCTCCTAAGTATCTGATAAACTGGTGGTAAATTAGCCCTGCTGTTGACTGACAAGGGACCTATTTCTCAGGCTTCAATCATTTCCCTGGCTATCTTTTTAGCTGCTCAGCCAAAAATCTTAGTAGCTGAGAAATTAAATGTATGTGTTTGTTCACTGCAATGTCAGGCTACTAATGAGTTCAGGTCTCCTGATCTGACACTTGCTTCTGTTCTTGCAGTCTGGTGGTTAGCTTCCTGCCCATCTATCCTACATAGTCACAGGGGCAATCCATGCAGGGGATCTGATAGATTACATTAGAAGTACTGCCCATCTCCAAGTGATCTTTGCAAAGCATGATTTGTCCTCAAATAGTAGCTTCTGAGCAATATGCAATGCCCACTTGCAGATCTCGAAAGCTGCTTTGTACTGCTTCCGACCCATATTGGATCCTGCAACATTATCCTGGGATATGTATATTTGCCTTCATTCATGAAGTATTGCTCTAATATTAATATAGAAGATACATTAATAAATGTGATATGGGAGCAATTTAGTAGCTTTCCACTATAGCAATGGACAATCTGTAATCTTTACCTACTTACTCGATCTTTTTTTATGCATCTCTCATATCCATCCAGGTTATATTGTAAAAACTACAATTTAATTCTGATTGGAAATAGTCTTCCAATATTGGTGGAAATTGTGACCCTTGCTCACTTTCACAACAACCTTGCCTTGCTAATTCCAAAGCCCAATAGCTAAAGGGAAATCTAAGGCTTGGTCCTGATTTCTCTTCCAGCAATTCTAAGCAGTTATTTGATGGAAACAGGAAGCAACAAGATTTCTATGCTCTTCCCAATGTCCTGCTGTAAACTTCCAGTTTCTTGTTATTAGGTGCAGAAAGCAACACACAAATACTTTTTCTGTTTCTTTTTATGGCTAAGAACCGTGAGTTGACCATTATGTATTTATTTTTTTAAAAAATCAGAATGGAAAAAAAAATTCAAAACAATTTTTAAAGTATTGTTTTAAAGTGAAAGCCTTTTTGCCAACTGCACTGAAGTAAATGATGCAATACTACTGAATAAACTAATTCTATAATGTAGCTGCTTAAAACCTCTTCATTCCAGTAAACATGTTTAACTTACTACAGCCCCTAAAACAAAACATGCTAATTCAGACCATAGGTAGACAAGACAAAAATTGAACAATCATTTCCCTACTCTTTTTAAAGCCTAGAAGTAGCAAGTTAAAAATAATTTCACAATCATCATCATTATCACCACCATCACTCCAAGTATAAAATGAAGCCACTGTCTATCCTGACAGTGGATAGATAGAAACTATTGATTCATAATGTTTCCAGCTTAACAAGTGCAAAATCAAGGACCAGTTTTGCTAATCTGGAGGACCATATTATTTTTGGTAACTTCTATTTTTTTAAAATAACAATCTGAATTTGTCTAAAAAATTCTTGCAGGAAGATTTTTACTTACTGTATCCCATATCTGAAGTTTTATCTGCTTCCCATCAATGGTTATCATTCGAGCACCAAATTCTACACCTGAATAATGAAACAAAATAAATGAAACCCATCATTTCTTAGTTTTGACTAACTATATACAAAAACAATCAGAAAAATACACAAAATTGTAAAAGAAAATGAAATAAAGATCTACATTAGTCTTTCAAAAACATTGCAATACTGTTCTCCAGTTGCTTCAGTATTCCAGTTCCTTTACACTATTTGATACAGATTTGCTAAGTTTCCATTCATGCCAGACATTGTAGTATAGTTTTTAGCACTAAGATGGCTCACACTCAAACCCACTACTGTAGCATGAAGAGGCCTTACTAATCATTTCTACTATTTTCTATTTCTAGTATTTTACTTGAATTTCATTTTAAATTGTGTTTTACTCCTATTCAAATTTCATTTTAAATTATTTCTACCAAACTTTTGTAATAATTGTTTCTGGAGCGCTGCACTTTGATATGGCCCAAGGGCTAATCAATAAATAAAGATTAGATCATTTCTAAAGGACATATAATTATGACTTTGCCTTTATCTCTGCAGGCAACTGTAGAGGCAACTTATATTCATTTTAGCATTAGACTGACATGCAAATGAATGAAGATGCCTTACTGATGATGTTAGTGATAACATGAATTGGGATCTGTCTAGTTCTAGCTTACAGCTTGAAGCTGTAGCATGTTTGCTCTCCCTCAGTAGAATGAGCACAGCCTACCATGACATTTTGGGATTGGACTCCAAGACAGAAAAAGTAACTGGCTTCCACAGAAGGATCTCTCTTCATAATACCTGCCTGGCTCATTCTGAAACTCTTGTCAAAGCTTATGTATGGCCATAGTTCCTATTATTTTTATTACTCCCTGAGTATGTGCCACATTCAATTCCTCTTCTGAGAGGCAAAATGCAGCTAGGAGAGTTCACTAATTGTGAGCAACAATGAGACAGTATAGGACTCAGTCATTGCGACAATACAATAGTTTAAAATAATTTTCACTGTTTACAAGCTTAACTATTATGTATTTATGTGTGCTTATGTATGTGTGTGTGGGGGAGAAGGACTCTCTGAGTGATTACAAGTAGTCCTAGAGAGACTTATGACAACAATTGAGCCCAAAATTTATGTTGTTAAGTGAGACATGTGTTAAGTGAGTTTTGCCCCATCCTACAACCTTTCTTGCCACAGTTATTAAGTGAATCATTGCAGTTGATTAGTTAGTAACCCGGTTGTTAAGTAAATCTGGTTTTCCGATTGACTTTGCTTGTCAGAAGGTCGCCAAAGCTGATCATATTGACCTTGGGACATAGCAACGGTTGTAAATATGAACCAGTTGCCAAGCACCTGAATTTTGATTACATGATCATGGGGATGTTGCAAAGGTCATAACTGTGAAAAATGGTCATACATCACTTTTTTCAGTGCTGTTGTAACTTTGAACAGTCACTAAACAAAATGCTGTAAGTCAAGGACTCCAGCAAGTCTCCTCCAAGTACAAGTCTCCAGCAGACAGCAACATATTCAATTGCCATCTTCCTATTTTTCTGGTCATTTTAGTTAAGAATAAAAAGAGTTCCCCAGATTTACCATAACTTGGAAAGATTATCCTGGCTTGTTATTTTCTCACATACCATAGTTTTGGTTCTCAAAGGAAATGATAAGCTATCATTTCCAGTTTATTTGCTAAGCACATGCTTCCTGGCTCAAGCAAAAATCACACAGTAGAGCAGATGAATCAACAGTTTGCCCACAGTAAACTAAAATTCCCTAGAATTTTCATACAACTATGAAAAACAGTAGCTATATACAAATGTAATTATAATTGTGGAAATAATAATTGTTCAGTATATACCTAAATTACATATCAAATGGATTAGGAACCATTTATGTACAAATGTTTCATCTTTCATCATTTACCTACTAAGGACTTACCTATAGTAAGGTCATGAACTGGTTGAAACCTTTTGTCTGTAAACTGCAACAATAAACATGATTTTCCAACACCTGAAAAACAGGAATTTCAAGAATCTGCAGTTATACAATATTTGCAGAGATGAACGTATTTAAAGGTACACACCCATTAAAGCATCTGTTTCTGAAGTTTAAAAAGGCTATTTCTAAATCTTAATCTCAAGCAAATCATTTTAATGATTTAAACATATTAACAAAAAAAAAAGTGACTTAGAACTCATTATTCCGATGATACTATGATAGTTAGAATCCACATATATACAGGTATACCTTAAGTTACGACCATAATGGAGACTGCCCATTACGGCCGGAAGCCAGGACAAATATTAAATGAACTGCCTCACATTAAAACTAACCATCCCTACTCTCCCTAGTGCAGTTGTTAGTGCAATGAATGTGCAGGTGATTAAAATGAGCATGGGGTGCCTTGGGTATGCGGAGATCCTGGAAGGCCTAGTACAGACATAAGCCCACCTGCTTTGGGCCTCCCCACCTCCATTGCCAATTGCTCACTTACTTTTTACCATAGACCTCCATCTAGAAATTTTGTCACATTAGGAATGAAAGCAAGCTGCTCCGTCCCCCAGTGTCCCTAGACACCATGGCTGTGGCCCAGAAGCAAGTGCCAGGCTGAAGTGTAAAGGAAAGGAATGAAGCAAGTAAAGAAAACCTTTCTGCAGCTGTTTGTTGGGAGAAGCTGAAGAGAAAAATCAGCTCAAAAAATTTAGCTGGCTAGAGCAGATCATATGCAGCAATAGAAGTAGGTCCTTGGAAATATTTTTGCTATTTGTATGACTGCCTGTAGGACCCAGTTAGGAGTTGGCTTTAGAGTCCTAGCTAGGTTTTAAAGGCAGTTAGACAAACACCAAAAAGTTTTTAGGGAGTTCTAACTGGCTCCTCAAGGAAAAAAGTTGCAGAAAATTTTTCTTTGCTTGCTTCATTCCTTTCCTCTACTCTTCAGCATGGAGTCAAGATAAGTAATTTACAGATTTTGTCACCCTCTTTCCAGGCATGCAGGAAGTTTAGTAAATTAAATTGTTAGAGGGGATAGAGATTGGAGGACAGAGGTGGGGAATTTAGTTTCAACACCTAAGGGGATTGGGGGAGAAAAAGATGAACAAGTTTGCCTCTCTCAGCCTTTTTTGTTTTATGTTTTTGTTTTCTTTAAGAAATGTCAATGGGGGGGGGATAGAGGGCGTTTAAAACAAGAGCAAGATTTTGGAAAGTTCATCCTGAAGCCACTGCCTTAGCATGTTCTGGTTTCCCAAAGCCTAGCAGAAGAGCCTTGCAGTTTTCCAACAGCCAGCTGATTGGGGCAGAAAGCTCTGAAAGCAGTCACCATTTCTGCAAGGAATTGGAGAGTGTTCGTGAGGCATGGGAACAAGCCCAAGTCCTGTGGAATCCCTTTGGGATGGGATTGGGAGAGAGGTGAGGAGCTTGGCTTTGCAGCAGGACTGAGTGTACTTTCTATTTGCTGGTAAGGGTGCAAAAGGTGTTCTTCATTTACTTTTCTTTGGATTTAGCAGGTTTTTTTTTAAAAAAAAGAATAACTTAACTTTAGAAACTCCATATTACCCTTTTGTATCTGGTAAGATTATTATCCATTTTTTGAGTGGTAAAGCTAAATAATGAAAAAAAAAAACCCATAAATCAAACAGAACCACTGCTTCCAATTTTTAAAGACTCTCCTTGCAAACAAAAAACCCTAAACTCTTACACCTGTTAACCAGTCTTGACCCCAATTTTTTATAAATAATACTGAATTATATACAACAATCAAATAAATTATATTTTCGTTTTAAAAAAATTTCTGGCCAGGCAGCAATTGCTTAGAAGAACCTACTTTTATTTTAAAATGTTATTCCTTGTTGTTAAAAAGCAAAAACTTATAATAGATATGTATGGTTCCTTATTTAACAACAGAGTAAGTTCATTTCTCTAGATTTCAGATTTGGATCAAAGTAGGAGCAGACAGTTGTTGATCTGGCCCACATTAAATCATTCTATTTTCCAAATACACTTGGACAAACTGCATGTTGAGAACAGAATATCCTTTTTTAAAAAAAAATAACGCTACCTACTTTGCATAATTGCCAGGATTCTATCATTCAAAAGTTTGAGAAGTTCCCTATTTTATTAGAAATTTATGTACAGTGTTTGTAGTTAAGATTCTTGTAACATTTATAAAGACATATCTTGGACATTCCTATCCTTCTGCTATATATGCTAAATGACAATTCTCAATCAAGTGATATGAGGATGTACATGACTTAACTCAATTTTATACTGTGTTGAGTGAACCAGGCTTCAAACAGGCTAGTATCAAAATAGCCATTACCAAAAAAGAAACAATTGCAATTTTCAGTCCTAGACTACGACTAATAATTATTAGTCCAAGAAACTATGACATCTGACAACAATTAGTTCTCAAATTCTATTGAAAGAAACTTTCTCCAAAGCAATGGAAAAAAGAGTTATTATGCTTGGTCGGGAAAAGAACAGATTGTGTCTAAGAATGTTCCAAATAAGGTCCTTCTTACTTTACACAAGTTCCAATCACTAATTATTTATTCAATGGAAACTTTTCTCCTTTTAAAAATAATGTTTGTATATTAAAATACAAAGAATAATTATTGTATAAGTTTGGTTCAACATCATGTCAACCATTTCACTAGCATTTTAGCAAAGTATAAGTTTTCATTCATATATATCAGAAAATAAACCAACTCACATATATTAACAATCCAAAAACTATTTTCTATTTACAGCTATATCTGAGTACAGTAATGATGTGAAGAACCAGAGATGCCTATCTCTGGAAATCAACAATCGGTTGTGTTATTTTTGAGAAAATTCATACTTTCAACCTTCCATCCGCGGGTGAGACGTCAGAGGTGGCTCGGGAGTTCATGGCTTCCATGACGGCCATGGACCTGACCCAGTTAGTTCAAGGCCCCACTCACATAGGAGGACACACTCTGGACTTGATTTTCATCTCTGGTCAGTGGTTGAATGATCTTGGTAGAGGGGACTTAGACATTAAACCCTTGTCATGGACAGATCATTCGCTCCTTCACTTGGACTTTCCTACCGCTTCCCCCTGCCGCAGGGAGACTGAACCGACTAAATGGTTCCGTCCCAGGCGCCTGATGGATCCAGAAAGGTTCCTGACGGAGCTTGGGCCGTTTCCTGAGACTCTGACACACGACTCGACTGAAGAGCTGGTGGCCGCCTGGGAGAGTGTGGCCGCCAGAACTTTGGATCGTGTCGTGCCTTTGCGGCCTCTGACCCGATGCCGATCTCAATTGGCTCCTTGGTTCTCTGAGGAGCTGAGAGAGATGAAGCGTCGGAAAAGACGGCTAGAGAGCATTTGGCTGCCGACGTAGCTGCACTACGTGTGGAATGGGCCGTTACCCAAGAAGGCCGCGGCAAGGAACGAAGGTCATACACTGAAGTGATGGTCTGACGAATCCAGCGGCCTATAGTAGAGGAAGATACCTTGAGACCCAAGGAGACTGGAAGGAAGGAGACAAATAACGCTTCCGACCGGCGAATAGCAGCAGTCCGCTTGATGTAAATTTGCAGAGCCCGTCGGACGTCCAGAGTGTGCCAACGGCGCTCCCGAGGATGAGAAGGACGCGGGCAGAAATTTGGCAGAATAAGTTCTTGTGCATGATGGAAGACGGAGTTGACCTTCGGCACGAAAGTAGGATCCAAGCGGAGGACAACACGGTCCGTGTGAAACACGCAGAGGTCAGCTTGGATGGACAAAGCCGCCACCTCCAAAATGCGGCGAGCCGAGGTTACCGCCACCAAAAAGGCGACCTTGCAAGACAGCAACCGTAGGGAGGCCGTCCTTAGAGGTTCATACGGAGGACCCATGAGGGACTCAAGCACCAACGGAAGGTCCCAGGAAGGGTAACGATGCAGGACCGGAGGAGACAGGTTCGTTGCGCCCCGAAGAAAACGCCGAACCAGAGGATGTTGAGCCAGAGATGACAGTGAGCCGCAGGTAAGTACAGAGGAAATGGCGGCCACCTGGCGGCGTAACGTGTTAGGGGCAAGGCCATCGGAGAGACCCCGTTGTAGAAAGACAAGAATGTCCATAATAGAGGGTTGTAGAACATTCACACCAGTCTGGTCACACCATGAGCAGAAAACCCGCCAAGTTGCAGAATATATTCTGTCAGTGGAGGAGCGTCTCGACGCCTGGATCGTCCGAATCACGTCCTCTGGAGCTAGGGCACTCCTCAGGGAGAGCTGCTCAATCTCCAGGTGGTCAGGCTGAGCCAAGGAAGGTCCGGGTGGCTCAGTGCCCCTTGCGTCAGAACGTCCGTCTCGAGAGGAATGCGCCAGGAGGGAGCGACAGAGAGGGAGACTAAGTCCGCAAACCATGCTCTGCGCGGCCAATGAGAAGCCAAGAGAATCACCTCCGCCCGTTCGTCCAGAATCCTGCGGATGACCCTGGGAAGTAAGGAGGTTGGAGGGAAGGCGTACAAAAGACCGTCCGGCCATGGCGCCCGAAGTGCATCGATGGCTTCCGCCTGGGGTTCCGGAAACCGGGCAAAGAAACGGGGCAACTGAGCATGGGCATGAGTTGCAAACAGTCCACAACTGGCGTCCCGAACCGATGAACCAGGGATTGAAAGATCCTGGGATGAAGCCGCCACTCCGCATTGTCCACCTCCTGACGGTTCAGCCAATCTGCTTGGGCATTGGCGACACTGGAGATGTGTTCCGCCCGTAGAGACTCGAGGTGGCGTTCCGCCCAAAGGCCGAGCTTCATGGCCAGAGACAACAGGGCCTTGGACCTGGTGCCGCCCAACTTGTTGAGATGTGCCTTGGCAGTCACATTGTCCGTTAGCACAAGCACATGAGACCCGGAGACCAGATGGCGAAACGCACGGAGAGCCAGAAAGACAGCTTGTAGCTCCAACCAATTGACTGGACGAAGAGAGTCCGCCATGCTCCACGTCCCCTGAGCCAGATGGCCTTGGCAATGGGCACCCCAGCCCCGGAGACTGGCATCGGAG